AAGGCATGTTATTCGCAATTAGGTGTTGTGGCTGGGTTGTTATAGGTCTGCGTGACTCTCGATGTCTTAGGCCTAATTGAACGGAGGAATTATGGTATTCTTCTGTAGCCTGACGACGAGTAACTTTAACCGTTGTTCATGTGAACTCAAAGACAGCCTGATGAAGTCCACGGTATAGTTCGAACACTGGCCTGTAGACAAATCATTTAGTAAGCAGAAATCCGAAATGTACCTTAACATATTAAGTTAGAGGAAGATGCGACTGAATTGATGCTTGAAGACTGCGCTTCCAGCAGCCATGATAAAAAGTTGGCGGTTAAAGTTTTCTATGCACAATTTGATTTGACGAAAGTCACGAGACCTATTACTCTCTATCCAATCACGTTGATGGATAAAAATTAAATTAAAATAAGCATGTAACGACCACAAACAGAGGAAAATATCGGAGTAAAAGTACCGATACATCACTTAAAATGTACTCAAGTAAAAGTACACAATTTTTAAACTACTCAAAAAAGTACAATTACTGATAAAAACTACTTCATTACTGTAACGTGAGTATTTGTAATTCGTTACTTCACAGCCCTGGCTGTCAGTGAGTTACAACTATCCGCCGCTGGCCCCCCAGCTGGCAGGCGAGAATTCTACCACTGTACCACCAATGCCTTCCTGAAATCTTAACGTAGCCCCCTGGCTTCCAAAGTGAGGGCACTTTCAAACGCAGTTGCCATACATGCCCACTAGGTGGCACACTCCAATCTCTCTAACTGTCTTGGAGCTTTCCTCAGTAATTACCACATTTGCTCACTAGGTGGCACACTCCAATCTCTCTTACTGTCTTGGAAATTTCCTCAGCAATTACCACATTTGTTCACTAGGCAGCACAGTTCACTCCCTCAAACGATTTTGGCACTTTGCCACGAGGGAGGCCCGAGTTCGATTCCCGGCCAATGCAATCACTTTTCTCATACCTTTTCACTTTATTTTACTTCCACACATTTAAAGGGGTCATATGATGCGATTTCAAGTTTTCCTTTCCGAAGCGTTTGAGAGAGGCGGGAGAGAGAGGATCTACAATAATGTACAGTATTTGAAAAATAATGTGTTTTTTGAACATTAAAGCATGTCAACATATTCTGTTACACCAAATACACAAAATAATGATCTTTAAAATAGCATCATATGACCCCTTTAAATAAATAAATAAAATTGGAAGAAAATAAAGAAGAAAAATTATAATAAAAAAACTTGCCATTCAGATCACCCTCTTTCTTAGATGGAGTCCCATCGCCCGGAGGGGACGATTTGGTCTGTGATTCTTCATCATCTTCATCATCTTCAGGAGTCACAAGCTTCATCAGGCTATGATTACATGCACTGGCAGCCTCTTTAGTACCTTGAGATGGTTTATTGAGGAGCAGTAGCAACTAATACTAACAGGACAATATCAATACCTCAAAAACATAGCTAAATGGCATTGAACACAAAACATACTCTCAGCAAATGCATTTTATATTAGATATACAACCACAGTTTAGGATACTCTTTTTGCGGTCATCATAGGAAAGGCAAGGCAGCACTGCTGTCAGTATGCCAGAGGAATATGGCAGTACCACTCTTCCAGCAAGCTGAATGAATTCCCTCATCCATGTCATCGACGTCAACTGGATGAGATCGTTAGCTGCAGAAAGACCAAATTAAAGAATTACACTACTTACCTATAAAAAGAATTCTACAAAGATTTAAATCTGACTCACTCGACTTTGATTCATCAGACACTTGACAGTGGATGACTAATATGTTGGCCATTTCCGCAAATTTGACACTGGATGGATTCTTCTTAATTTCTTTCAGGAATTCCCCCAAAACCACCTCACACCTATTAAACAGCAGCTGTTAATGCTCTTTAAAAATGAGAAAAACATAACAGAGAAAAGAGGAAGAGGGAGAAACTATCTCAGGTAAAGGAAAAGATAATGCGACATACATCCGCCTGATCTCTTTGCTGCTGTCTCCAAGAATCTGAAAGAGTCCGTCTAGAAATTCTGGCAGATAATCCAAGAGGTTGATATCAGGAACCGACTCCAACACGTGGATCTGGAGTCAAACCATCACAGGAAATCACAAAATGATAATGGCAACTATTATCAGTGTTGTTATTGTTAATGAAAAACAAAACTATTTGTCATTTTTGGGAGACTGAAAGAGAGCCGAAATAAAATAAAATATAAATATTAGGCAAAAAGCTAAACGTGAAAAACTTAACGATTAATCTCATCCAAAATAAAAGTTTTTGTTTACATAATATATATGTGTGTGCTGTGTATATTTATTACGTATATATAAATACAAACACGCGCATGCATATATTTAAGAAAAATATGTAGTGTTTATATATTAAATATATTTATATATAATATAAAATATAAGAATATAAATATATAAATGTATGCATTTAAATATTTCCAAAATATATGCTGTATGTGAGTGTATGTATATATACATAATAAATATACACAGTACACACACATATATTATGTACACAAAAACTTTTATTTTGGATGTGATTAATCGCGATTAATCGTTTGACAGCACTAAAAATAAGTTGAATTTGAAGTACTAAAATTACTAAAAATAAAACTGAAATAAAAATAAAGCTAAATAGAAATATTTAAAGCAAAAATAAAACAAAGATTGGTGAAAGTGCTCAACTCACCCATGAGATAATGAATTGGCGGGCATACTGGTTGTTTGAGTAAATCCTCTCACGCAACAGCGGGACAAAAGCCACTAGGTCAAATTTGTTGCTCTCTGTTACAATGTCCTTAAAATAAAAAGGACATAAGAAGTCATTATTTCATTTGATACCTCCAAACTTTAACTGCGGAATCCACGTTTCTCATTTCAAACTCACCTTAAGAAGCCGATCCAGGAGCTCAGATCCACTCTTTACGTTTGGATCAGGATCTGCAGCAAGCTGTAAAGAACAGATCACATGTAAGGTGAGTCTTAGGCACAGGAAGAGGAAATTACAATACAAAAGTTAGGAATGACTGTGTATTGACAATTCCAATGAAAATTATGTTCAAAATGTCAGTAACAGTTAAAAGGTAAAATTTTATCACCTCTTACATATGAAATATGTAAAAAAAATATATATATTTTGGAAAAGATTATAACAGAAGAAAATAACATCTTACCACTGTCATTTTTTATATTATATACTATTATAGTATTTATTAATATTTTCAGTAATTTTGTTTTGTACTTTTGTTTTGAACTTCTGTCATTTTTATTAGTTTCAGTTTCTTTTTCAAAAACTTCATTTTTTTTAAATTCCTATATAGCTTTAATTTATTTGAATTAATTATTTATTAGTTTTAGTAACAAAATTATTTTGGTAAGTTGACAATTCTTACAATTTTTTCTTAAATTAAGTTTAAACCTAATATTTATATTTTATTTTATTTCAATTACTGTAAACTAAACTATTTGTAATAGTTTTAGTCAGTGTTACTTTAAGACCACTGATATGCTAATATAGTTTTAGTCATTTCTGTTCTGTCATTTGTGTTTTATTATGTCTATACAGTTTTACTTTTTTTTTTTTACAGTTTTAGTTTTCATTATTTTAGAACATTAAATCAACTTAAATGAAAATAAGAAATGTTGCCTTGGCAACAATCTGAAAAAAAAAATCAGTTAATGTACATTTTATTTCAAATAACAAAAAAGTTAAACTGTAATAACCCAAAAGTTGACAACAACAACACTGCTTTGTAGCCTTAAGAAATATTTTACTATATTAAAATTTTTAAATGGCATCGATTACTAAAAAAATATTTCAACTAACATGGAATACCATGTGGGATTCATTTCTACCATTCATGCATGCATCTAGACATGAAGGGGCAACAGTTTACCTTGCTAAGCCCATCAAACAGCACATTAAAGTGGGGCAGCACTGCTCCCCTGGCAACTTTCACTATATTGTAAAGGGCCTCACAGGCGTAGTAGCGCAGACGGCTGTCAGAATCATTGAAACATGTAAGAACCGGATCAATGAGTTCTTTCAGGTACAATCCAGAATCCTGAATAGTACAAAAGATAAGATAAACATAAGCAAAGCCTCCATATTTGCTTTGGAATTTCAAGCATACTGAACATCTTGCAGCCAATATACCAATGAATCAAGTATTCAGTGGTGTATTGAGGAAGTATTTAGCACATTTATTTCATATACTTTTCCCAGGGCAATGGAGCACGCCGCCAACCCAATGAGGCCTCCTTTTCGGCTGTGAGGGTGCTGGGAGAGCGCAAACTCTGTGGCCAGTATCTGGATGACATGTCTGATCTGTGCAGAGTTGTTCTGGGCGACGAATTCCCGTACAAGCCTGACAGAAGATTGGGAAGAAGCGGATAAATGGAATAGCCTATAAATAAAACACAGCATTCTAATAATTCATTTCAAACACTAGCTGGACTTCAGTGCCGTTTGGACTATGGGCTATTGATCATAAGCATGACTAATGAGATCATGTGGCATGTCAGATGACCAGCTCTCCATTTGAGCAAAATAACAACGATTAATTACTTATTACAGAGAGAAACTAACTATGCATGTTAAACTATAATTCACACGCTGTAGTATGCGTGTCAGTGGAGCAAAATGGGACTAAACGAATCTAAAAGCAGTTGTAGGCAAATGAATACCACATATTCTAATTTGAAAACATTTCCTCTCATTTATGAATATAAACAACAGATTATGACTCACTTTTCAATCTCAAGAGCTGCCACCTTCCTCTTCTCGTACAGTTTGTCGTTGAGAGCTCTCACAATGTTTGGTGTCAATGGAGAAAAATCCTTTTCTGTGTTCATTTTTTCTAAGTATTTCCGAAAAACCCCTTAAATTACGCTGGTCTCCGAATAAAGCTTAGTGAATAAAGAGAACGTCTCATTAGATGACAGTTCAGTAAGTGTATGACTGAATAAATGTATTAATGTTTCATCCAAACAATGTCCTTAAAATAAAAAGGACATAAGAAGTCATTATTTCATTTGATACCTCCAAACTTTAACTGCGGAATCCACGTTTCTCATTTCAAACTCACCTTAAGAAGCCGATCCAGGAGCTCAGATCCACTCTTTACGTTTGGATCAGGATCTGCAGCAAGCTGTAAAGAACAGATCACATGTAAGGTGAGTCCAACTGAAAAGTGATTCCAATGAAAATTATGTTCAAAATGTCAGTAACACGGTTAAAAGGTCTGTGTTATCACTTCTTACATATGAAAAAATGTCATTAAATGTTTATGGTATTTTAGAAAAGATTATAACAGAAGAAAATAACATCTCACCAGTGTTATTTTTGTATTATTTAGTATTTATTAATATTTTGAAATAGCTTTTATTTGTATCATTTCAGTTTTCAGTAAAATTTTAGCTTAAGTTTTATTAGTTTTAGTTTTTTTAACTAGTTTTTTTTAAATTTCTTTTTAACTTTATTTCAGTCAGTTTTTTTAATTATTTTAGTTTTCACACAGTATTTATATTTTATTTCAGCTTTATTTCAATTACTGTAAACTACTTTTAATAGTTTTAGTCAGTGTTACTTTAAGATCATTGAGACGCTAATATAGTTTTTTTAATATTTCAAATTCGTTTTTTATATACACATATATTTCATTTTAGCTAAAGTTTTAGTAATTTTGCAGCATTTGTCATGTTTTTTGTTTTTATTTTTCATTATGTCTATACAGTTTTTATTAACTTTTTAATTTTCATTATTTTAGTACATCAAATTAACCCAAATGAAAATAAGAAATGTTAATCAGTTAAAGTTTATTTTATTTCAAGTAACAAAAAAGTTAACTATAATAACCCTATAACTGACAATAACACAGCTTTTTTTCCCTTAACAAATATTATATTATATTTAAATGTTTAAATGGCATTTATTACTAATTACTCAAAATTATTTCAAATAAATATTTAAAACTAGCATGGAATACCATGTGTGATTCATTTCTACCTTTCATGCATACATCTAGATATGAAGGTGCATTAGTTTACCTTGCTAAGCCCATCAAACAGCACATTAAAGTGGGGCAGCACTGCTCCCCTGGCAACTTTCACTATATTGTAAAGGGCCTCACAGGCGTAGTAGCGCAGACGGCTGTCAGAATCATTGAAACATGTAAGAACCGGATCAATGAGTTCTTTCAGGTACAATCCAGAATCCTGAATAGTACAAAAGATAAGATAAACATAAGCAAAGCCTCCATATTTGCTTTGGAATTTCAAGCATACTGAACATCTTGCAGCCAATATACCAATGAATCAAGTATTCAGTGGTGTATTGAGGAAGTATTTAGCACATTTATTTCATATACTTTTCCCAGGGCAATGGAGCACGCCGCCAACCCAATGAGGCCTCCTTTTCGGCTGTGAGGGTGCTGGGAGAGCGCAAACTCTGTGGCCAGTATCTGGATGACATGTCTGATCTGTGCAGAGTTGTTCTGGGCGACGAATTCCCGTACAAGCCTGACAGAAGATTGGGAAGAAGCGGATAAATGGAATAGCCTATAAATAAAACACAGCATTCTAATAATTCATTTCAAACACTAGCTGGACTTCAGTGCCGTTTGGACTATGGGCTATTGATCATGAGCATGACTAATGAGATCATGTGGCATGTCAGATGACCAGCTCTCCATTTGAGCAAAATAACAACGATTAATTACTTATTACAGAGAGAAACTAACTATGCATGTTAAACTATAATTCACACGCTGTAGTATGCGTGTCAGTGGAGCAAAATGGGACTAAACGAATCTAAAAGCAGTTGTAGGCAAATGAATACCACATATTCTAATTTGAAAACATTTCCTCTCATTTATGAATATAAACAACAGATTATGACTCACTTTTCAATCTCAAGAGCTGCCACCTTCCTCTTCTCGTACAGTTTGTCGTTGAGAGCTCTCACAATGTTTGGTGTCAATGGAGAAAAATCCTTTTCTGTGTTCATTTTTTCTAAGTATTTCCGAAAAAACCCTTAAATTACGCTGGTCTCCGAATAAAGCTTAGTGAATAAAGAGAACGTCTCATTAGATGACAGTTCAGTAAGTGTATGACTGAATAAATGTATTAATGTTTCATCCAAAAGATTGTGCTCGTCACTTGTATTGTTTACAGACAAGACGACGCCCTAAAATGTGTTTCCGCGGCGGACTCTCATCACAAGCATCACTTATAAAATAATAGGACCTGCTGTCTGCGACACTCAAGTGAAAGCGGGAAGCAGAGGATGAGAGCAGCTAACTTACTGCCACAGCAGAATAAAAGCCCTCACATGACTTCCTACAAACATCATGCAGCGACTGGTAACTAAATCAATCGAGCGCCGATCAACGGATTTGTTTTGATTACGTCATACGAGTCACATGTTCTTTGGAAACGTTAAAGAAAAATATTAATATGCTGTTAAATGCTATCATTTGAGAATAGGACTGGTTTTAATAGCTTTAATAATAGTTCAAGTGTTATGTGTATTTATTTTAACATATCATTATAATGTAGCCTGTGTATAACGTAACGTTAACAATGTATAACAGGCTATGTACATGCATGAAATGTTTGATAATGTATTTTAAATATGTGTGCCTATTTATTTATTTTTCGTCGGTACCGGCCCATAAACGTCATGTAAAAGAAGTGATTGGTCATTTAATGTGTCAATCAGACGACCAGAGGCATTTGGTACAGGTGTCACTCATCAAATTCATTTAGCGTTTCCTCTCTGATGTATTTAATCCTTATTTACTTGAATGGGTTCCATTTGACATGTAGACTAGATATTAGGCTACCTTAAAACTGCTATTTTCTAAAACCAAAAAAAAAAACACATCTAAATAAAAAAGATTAGCCGATACAAATGACGCACTATCAGAAATCAAAGGTTTTATTTTATTTTATTTTATTTTATTTTTTTATTTATTTATTTTTTTTTTTTTAAGTATTTCAGTGTCAGATTTTAACTGCGTAATTTTTCACTCACTGTAATTTCTCTCACAGGTGTTTCTGCATCTTGCAACGTTACTCTGTGCTGTTGGGAGTATTTCTGGTAAGGTCACATGTGATGGAAATATTTCATCTCAATCGAGTCTTGTTATTAAACCATTTTTTTCATTCAGGTGAATGTGAGATATCGCAGTGTTCTGACCCATCTACCTGCGTTTTGTCGCAGAGGCGAACTTGTAAATGTGCAGTTGGCTACTTTGGAGATCTCTGTGACCAGGGTAAAGGAGTCAACCTTGTGGGCAAAACTGTGTAACCAGTTGAATTGCTGGTCTTAGCTAGTTTACACTGATCTCCTAGACTGGCGTTTAGCTGGTTGTCAAGCTGGGGCCATGTTCACAAAAGTCTTGAGAAGAATTCTTTATAAATGTTTTCTACATTTGATTTTTTTTTTTGTCTAACTTGGGTTGTCTAAGTTTTGAAGTATTCTGTAATTGTATTCCTAATATCTTAATAATAAAAAAAAAAGAATAAAATGACAGACTATAGGCTACCTTTTGGGGTTAGGTTATCCTAACTTCAAGTTGTTTACAATGATTTTTAAGATTTTCAAGAATTAGAATCAAGTTGTTTTAATAACAATTAAAAAAAAAAAAAATTTAAGATGTTTTTTTTTTCCCCTTCATAAGAATGTCTTGTGAATCTGGCTCTGGTTGCTTGGCTAACTAAGTACCACCTAAGACTAACAAACTTGCTGTTTTTTTCCAATGTTATGTTATTGTAATTTAACAAATTTTGTATTAATCTAATATTTCTTTTCAAGTCGCAACAATGAATGTGACGTGTGGCAAAGACTTCATTTCCATCCTAGTGGATGAAGAGTTCTTCAAGTACTACAATGTGGGAATAGAAGCTGTTCATTTGACTAACGCCAGCTGTCGTGCCCATAGAGAGGAGATCTCTGGATCAGCCTATTTCACAGTGCACACACCAATGGACCAGTACACTGCATGTGGAGGCAAACCTCTGGAGGTAAAATAAAATTTTTTTGTTTTTTTCCCCCCTCAAACTATGCAAGCATCAGCATGTTCACATTACATGTCCCTAAATGGCATCCACTCTAAACAGAAGAACATAACACACATTGTGTACTCCTTAACACTGATGTCTGACCCACCTATCTATGGAAACATTGTGAGAGATCCAGTTGTACAGATTGAGTACAAGTGCATCTATCCGTACATCCGTAGACTCAGCCTGGCGTTTCCCATCATCTCTTTCTCCAGGTAACACATTGATTTTGAAGGAATAGTCCACACAAAAATTAAAATTTGCTGAAAATGTACTCACCCTCAAGCCATCCAAGATGTAGATGGGTTTGTTTCTTCATTGGAACAGAATCATTACATCACTTGTTCACTAATGGATTCTCTGCAGTGAATGGGTGCCATCAGAATAGTGAGAAACCGCGACTCGGAGTCCAAACAGCTGATTAAAAACGTCACAATCCACAAGAAATCCACACAACTCCAGTCCATCTATTAACATTGTGCAATAATTTTAATGGTGATTTTGTTTCTTCACAAGACATTATTTGAAGGATTTCTAAATTGCTAAAACGATAAAGAAACAAACATATCTACATTATGGTTTGCCTAAGGGTGAGTACACTTTAATCACATTTTCATTTATTAAATTTTTTTTTTCTTCAAATTATACCCAAGCATGTGTTTAACCGATTTGATTTGTTTTTGAAGTGAAAGAATGTTCAAGGTGGATGAAGTGGATGCCAAGGTGGAGATGAGCCTGTTTAAAGATCACACATACAAAGAGGCTTTCACCAGCGCACCTACTATTAAGCTTGGAGATCAAATCTATGTCCAGATCCAAGTGACGGAGCCTGAAGATTTCTTCCATCTGAAAGTAAATGAGTGTTGGGTGACTCAGACTCCTCAAGCAAATAAGTCAGGCTTTAGCCACACACTGCTTGTAAATGGGTTAGTATTGTGAATTTTATGCTTGTAAATTTTAAATCCAAATGTCTCTTTTTAAGATCAGTTACCAATACACACTCATGGCAATTCATAGGTATTTTGTTTTTGGTGAACTGGTGACTGAAGGTACAGAAACTTTGTGAAAAAGTCACATTAGCAACATTTTGGTGAGATTTTGCAGATGTAAAGCAATGCGGCACACTTTCAAACCAAGCAGCTGTCTGTTGTTCAACAGCGAATTTGTGTAACCAATTTGAACCCAAGTAAAATTTGTGTGAGGAATTTCTTTTCCCTCAAGCGAAACTCCCGATAACGTGGATTCCCATTTAAATGACTGGTTTTTGCCTGCAAAACTGTCGAACAACAAAGGGTGAACACCCCTTTACTCAAGAGTCACTTCTAAACTAAGTTCCACTGATGGTTAGTTTCACACTGTAAATATGAAATCGGTGGCTCGTAAAATAATTACATTTTCTCATGAGATTCGGTTGCAATAACTAAATATTTCACCTTTCAGAAATGTCTTGATGTTTTTCTGATTGTCCTCAAGGTGCACAAATGACAAAACGGCTTCATTTGGTAATGGTACGGCACACCCTGCAGGAAGAAATGGTGAGGGGTCGACTGTCCGTTATTCGTTTGATATGTTTCGGTTTGTATACGAGCCCCACAGTTTCTACCTGCACTGCACTGTTCATCTCTGCACACCTGAGGATGGAAAATCTTGTATTCCTGTAAGCATTTTTTTTTTTTACCAGCTGGTTTCGGACAATCACGTTTTCCCATTGTTAACCTGACATGATTTGTTTTAGGAATGTAAAACTGTATCCAAAAGAGAGGTGGTTATGGATGAGCAGGCTCGAGGCCTGCTGTCTTATGGACCAATCAGACGAGAGCTACCAGTCAGACCTATGACAAGTATGTTTATGTAGTGTCCTGTGACATTTTAATACATAGATACCATACTTTTTATCATGTTTGACCCATATGGATTTTGTCTAATTTTAGATCTTGTCACATTGGTCCTTCCACTGACAGTGATTTGGACTCTGGGCATCTTCCTTTTAATCCTTATCAGTATCGCCAAAGCGGGAAATCGACGACACATGACAAATAGCTAAATAAATCACATTTTCACATAATGGTATTTGTTGGGTATAAAAACTACCTCAAGTACACAAGCTAACTATTAGCATGTTAGCTCTGACTGAGTGAACACTCCATGATAATGGACCCTCAGTGAACATTAATGTTCTGTCAAGAAAATTTAGTTTAAGTAAAATTGGCTTGAATGTGATTTACAGAGAGACGCATTGATCAATCAGGGCTGCTATTGTTTTTTTGCTTTTGTTTTCTTGCGTACTATATGAATCCTACTTTATATTTACAGTACTGAATATGAACAACAGGTGGCAGTGAGAACTAAAAGTGGAAGTTATATTTGCATAACGATTTTTGTTCTTCAAAACAAACCAATTTCAGTACAGCTCCCTTTATCTGCGTTTTTCAAGAATACATATGGAATGTTTATTATAAAACCAAGAATGGTGTGCATAATATCACAAAGGTAAACGGAGAAAGTGGGCGGGGAATGGGGTGCGGCTGCGTGCTGCAGAACGGCATGAGATCCTCATCATGAGCTTTCATGCTCCTGTTTGGTGTTCTGCAACAGATTGAGTATAGATTCGAGGACGCGCCGCCTGGTTCTCGACATTTCCAGATGGGGTTATCCAGGCGGTGCTTATATCAACACAAGCAATGCAATGCAGATCAACAAGTACAGTAGTCTTTTTATTCAATATTTAATGGGTTGATAGCTGCTGGTCATGCTAATGTTATAGTTTACAAGCCTGCGCGCACCAATGGAGACCTATGCGAACTGTTTGCACGGATAGCAATACAAGCGAAAACGTTCACTTAAGCTGGTGGGTTTGTGGTCCGAGAAGAACAATGACCTTATTTTGGTGATAAAAGGCTAGATTCTCCCGGGTTGCTGTCTAATCACGCGGTTCTTGGGGAGGAGAAGGTAGTGTGTTCATTTCTCATTGCTGTCCCGGAGTGGAGATGTCAGTCCGCAGGAGCAGATCGCATCGGTCGCTGAGACCCGTTACTATGATTTTCATCCTGCTGTTTGTCAACATTGCTGAAACAACTGCAGAACATGATGCTTTCAACGCAGAGGTTTGTAGACTCAGTGGTTTAAAGTTTTGTGCTGAAATACTGACGACACTAAACAAACTTTGTGGAGTTTATCTGTACATATCGAGTTGTGAAATTCTGTTTGGCTTCATTTTGCTTTGGTCTTCCAGGATTGTGAAAGTATGAGTTTTACGTTTAAGTTAGTTTAGAGGACAATTAATCAAATTTAAGAAAACTTGACAATTAGGAATCGGTTTGATCGATTTTTTTTTTTGACACTTTTCAACTCATGGTTTTAATAATATCAGGTTTACTGATAACACCATTCACACTTTAACTTGTATTGTTTGGATAATTGCTCAACTTTTTAAATAACTATCATTGTCGTGTGATAAATGTGTAACAGTTAGACATATCCCAAAACAAAAAATAAAAAAAAGAGATTTACGTTTATATAGGTCATAAGAGCTTTAATTAAATATAATGCTGTAACAACACCAATAGTTTTTATTATTAAAGTGTATTTTTTGTGTGTGTAATAATCTAATGATCACCCTATTATTGTATTAGAAAGCATAACTTATTGGGTTACTGGACACAACCAATAAATACAACTAAAGCAGTCAAAAAAAAAAGTCAGTGTTTCTCTTTACAATGCTGTTTGTAAGCCATTTTACTGTTTGACTTTTTTTAAATTTATTTATTTTTTTTTTTTTAATAAAAAGCAAATTTTAATAACTTGTATTGTTTGGATAATTGCTCAACTTTTTAAATAACTATCATTGTCGTGTGATAAATGTGTAACAGTTAGACATATCCCAAAACAAAAAATAAAAAAAAGAGATTTACGTTTATATAGGTCATAAGAGCTTTAATTAAATATAATGCTGTAACAACACCAATAGTTTTTATTATTAAAGTGTATTTTTTGTGTGTGTAATAATCTAATGATCACCCTATTATTGTATTAGAAAGCATAACTTATTGGGTTACTGGACACAACCAATAAATACAACTAAAGCAGTCAAAAAAAAAAGTCAGTGTTTCTCTTTACAGTGCTGTTTGTAAGCCATTTTACTGTTTGACTTTTTTTAAATTTATTTATTTTATTTTTTTTAATAAAAAGCAAATTTTAAAGTTTCTTTTTACTCCTTACAGGACCATAGGGTTTCATTGGGTTACCTGGTATTGAATCCAGTCCTATCTGTTTAGTAACCGTTTGGTAATTTCAACGTCGAGAATTACAATAGGATGTTTCTGCAACCTCTGGTGAATATTAGATGGTGTGTAAGGATGTTTACATCTGTCCTCATAGCCTGACCATGTGGCAGTGGTCTTAACTGAAAACACCTTCAAATATTGATATTCATATTAATATTCAATTCTTTACCAAACATTTAAAACTTGTTTCTGGTGCACAAATTATTTTGAGTTTATGTAGTTTAAGACTTAACTTATCTTAATCCAAACCTCCATAATATTTCCTGATGGATTCTAATGGATAGTTGCGTAATTAAAAAGCAGCTTGTGTATTAATGTCTTCCTGTATGTTCATTTTTTCTTTCTGTTGTGTAATCCCATCGTCACCACACTTCTTGGTAGTAGTTGTTGCAACACCTTGTCAACTCTCCAACATTTTCTGTGTGTTGTTCCTTAAAGTCATGGCTGAGGACGTATGGCTACCTGTCCCAGGTTAGCAGACAGATGTCCACCATGCAATCAGCCCAGATCCTTTCTAGTGCCATTAAGGACATGCAGCGCTTCTATGGCCTGGAGGTGACCGGACACATGGACTTGGCCACTCTTAAGTATGATTTCCTTATTCAACTGCCTGTAGAAAAACAAGATGATCGCAGTCTGTTTTGATTGTGTGTTAACTGAGAAAATAGAAACTGTGATACGGTGTACAGTGTAACTAGGTCAAGTAGCTTATCCATACCACTTATTACTTAATAAAATTTAGTATTTTTTTAATAAGAATAATTTTATTATTAATAAAATGGTTTTATATCTATTTTAAAATGTATTTAGAATTATTGTTGTTGTTATTATTATGATTATTAATATTGTAAATTTATACCAGTGTTGTTATCGTTAACTAAGACAAAAACTATTAAAAATATTTTTCATTAATGGAAATAAAGCTGTAATAAAATCTAAATTTTAGATTAAAAATAAAAAAATAGAAATGTGCCATTAGCAACTAGTGAAATACTAAGTGAAATAAAGTTTGTTAAAGCTGAAAAAGATATATATTAATGCTAAATATAAATTTATTTATTTTTTAAAACGAATTAAAGATAGCAAAAGAACATAAAAGATTATCATTGCCCAAAGTACAATTAAAATGTAGAATGGCAGCTCTCAGAGAGCAAGCAATCTCTAAACACATACATATATACATAAAAAATAAATAAACAAATATATTACTGTAATTAAGAAAATTACTAAAACTAAAATGAAAAATTAAAACATGAAAAATAATTCACAATTAATAATATAGAAATACCACTTAAAGGGTTATTTCACCCAAAAAATAAAATTCTGTCATTTAATTATTTACCCTCATGTCGTTCCAAACCCTTAAGACCTTCGTTCATCTTCGGAGCACGAATTAAGATATTTTTGGTGGAATCTGAGAGCTGTCTGACCCTGCATAGACAGCAACGCAACTGAAATGTTCCCAAGTCCAGAAACGTAGCAAGGACATCGGTAAAATAATCCATGTGACATCAGGGGTTCAACCGCAATTATACGAAGCTACGAGAATACTTTTTGTGCGCAAAAGAAGAAAAAAAACGACTTTATTCAACAATTCGTCTCCTCCACCCTGTAGCACCATTTTGGAGAATATCCGCTGGACGTAAACCACGTATGCTGTTCTGTGTCAGCTGCGTCAGACGTTGTTTACGTCCAGCGGATACTCTCCAAAATGGTGTTACAGGGTGACGCGGAGGAGACGAATTGTTGAATGAAGTCGGTTTTTTTTCGTTTGCGCACAAAAAGTATTCTCGCAG